TTTAAAAACTGTGGTTTGAGGTTTCCGAGGTTTCCTTAGAAGGTTTCCTTAGAATCCTGCACTTGCTGGCAACAGTCCTGGTTTATATGGCCTTCGTCTCAGGTTCTGGGTCCATCTTGGTAGTTACTTTGTCCAGCATTTTTCCCAGACACGGTGAATTACATGCATCTTGCTTTTCATGTTTCCTGGCCGACATTGCAAGTACACACACATTGTGTCCCAATTTTTCAGCCTTTACTGCACATTCCTTCTGGTAACTTTTGCTGAGACCTCCAAAACCCTTTCACCCAATAAGGCGGGGGGGGGGGCATTATATGATTTTGTGTGACAGAAAGAACAGTGGAGCTGATACAAGTTTGGGCTATGAAGCGGCCAGATAGGAAAAACAGGAAACTTTTATTTACACACATGCACCCACCATCATTATCTTCCTTCCAGATGGTGACTTTGCTCAAAGTTTCTTTGAAGCAGCAACATAGAAACAGAGCGAGTCAGAAGAGGTCTCCTGGGCCATCTAGTCTGACCTCCAGCACCAGCCGGCTCCGCTCACGACATGCCCACCATGTGCATGCCCAGCCTATGTTTGAACACCCTCACCAATGGGGCCTCAATGACCTCTCATGGAAGCCCATTCCACACCCTTGGGTCCTGACTGTCAGGAAGTGCTTCCTGACATCTAAATGGAACCTTGGCTCCCTGAGCTTTGCTCCGTTGGAGCGCGTCCTGCCTTCCTCTGCAGGGGAGAACAGGTCTCTACCCACCTCCATGTGACATCCCCTCACATACCTGTATGTCGCCAACATATCCCCTCGGAGTCTCCTCTTCTCCAGGCTGAAGAGGCCCAGTTCCCTCAGTCTCGCCTCATACGGCATCCCCTGCAAACCGGTCATCAACCTTGTGGCCCTATACTGCACTGACTCTAACCTGGCTATATCCTTTCTGTAATGAGGGGCCCAAAACTGAGCACAATACTCCAGTATTGTGGAGTAGAACAAGTAGAAAAGATATACCATCTCCCTACAGAAAAACTCACACTGCAAAGTGCTAGGTGGGGGAGAAAGGAGATCAGGAATTCACTAGGTCCTCCACCACTATTTCCAGCTCATGCAAGTCAGCCAAGCTACATGCTGAAGAGTAAGAGGACAGGAACCCAGAATTGGCTAGTTCAATGTGCGTGCCTGGTTTTGAACCAACATTTTTGCAATGTGTAATTTCATGCATGTCTGGGAATTGGCTCAAGCTGCCAAAATGTCCAGTCCCTTCTGATGGTTTTTCTTTGGCCACAGGAGGGTATGACATGAGTGCTGGACAACTCTTGGAGAATGCTTGCATTTATAAAACTCTTCTCAGCTCAGGAACGGGCTGCCTGGATGGCCACCAGAATCAGACCCCTTTGGAATAACTCCAGGTGTTACTTCCAAATATCTGAGCAGGAAGGACCCCTCAAAGATTTCAGAATATGCATGCTTATGTAAGAATATAAATTCCAACTAAAAATAACCAAGTGCTTTTCCAAGTAAATAGTCCCTCTTCTGCGTAGGGTGGTGATGGGAAGCTTGGTTGACAACTTGGTTGGTACAAACATTGCTGAAAACACTCTCCTTTTCAATCTTTTAATTGTGGTGAATTTTGTTGCAGTAATTCCAAGTATGCTCAAAGAATGGGATCAACAGATATCCCCCTTTCTTGCAAAAATGTCTCCAGGGTTTGGGGGCATAAATCCTTAACCGGAAATACAGAGCTAGCATGTGCTCCCTGCATGATCAGGGAAGGAGTAAAAGCCACAGTGGCTTCCAGTGCACCCTGCAGGGCCTCTGGGGTGGTTTGGCAGACAACCCCACCAGCCACCCTCATTGGCGTCAGATGTCACAGCAACCTGTGTGGGTACTTATGGAAAGAAGCGGTATGCAAGCAGCACCTGTGGGGAATAGAAATGCTGTGACTTCTTTTCCTCCCCTCCCCTGATCACGTGAATTCAGAATTGGAAGGCACCAAGAGGCTGTGCAAAAGTTGCCAAAGGCCAGGGCCATCCCTGCATCCCACACTGGCATTCCAGGCTCCTGTATGTCGCGGGGCAGCCCAGGAGGGGCCGTTCGGGGCAAACAACAACAGGGTTCACCTCCCTGCAGTGCATGATTTGGGGGGTGGGGGGAAGGGTATATGTAGGAGGTATGGTGAGGGATGCAGTTTTCCTGGAGGGCTGCTGGTGATGTTTGCTGCAAGATTTTCTCAGAAGCGAGTTGAACGGACTAATAAGTAATTCTTAATCAGGAAGGTGTGTGGCTGACACCAAAACAGGTGTGTCCTCTAGCAATTAACAAGCTTCCCTTACACCAGCCTGCTCTCACCCAGCACCCTCCAGAGGTGTTGGACTAAGCTCCCATCATCAGCAAGCATGGTCACTAGGCATGCCTCGTCAGGTGATGGGAATTGCAGTTTGATACATCTTGAGGGCCTGGTTGGAAGAAGGCTGCCATGCATAGGCAGGTTTCCACTTGCTCAGCGTGTCTTCCCAGGGTTCCCTCTTGTGTCGTGGGAGGTTCTGACCTGTGCTCTCCTTCGGTCCAAGAGAACCTGCTTGGAATTAGTTAGGCCTCAGACAGAGCCCCATTCAATCCCTAGACTAACTAGGCTGAGCTCTTCTTGTGGGATAGATAAAGAAGACCAGAGACAGTCTGACAATCACACGCCAGGGCCACCTCCACCACTCAGGCTAATATAATGTGCAGTCCAGTGTGTCCGCAGTCCTCTATTTGAAAGGATGTCAGAGGACAGTGCTGTATTCGAAAGTCACCTCTATTCAAATGTGAGTCCAGCCCAAGTTCTGCTTGAAGATAAAGCACCATCTAAAGGGAGAATGGGGGCATGGAATTGCCCATCAACTGTGAGCCCCTAAACAGCACAATGGCAGGTACACAAGATCACCTGGTCACAGGTTACCCCACTCTGCTGCACTGAACTGCATTTCTGCTTACATGATAGCGATCATTTTTAAAGTCACATCTACCTGCACTAAGCAAGGGGTTGGACACAATGGGCTTCTTGGCCATTCCAACTCTACTATTCTATGAGTTTATGATCTCTGTATCTAAATTCATATATGCAAATATAGCACAGCCTGATTAGCTGCCATGCAATATTTTTATGCTTCTGGTATCCCACGTCAAATCTTCCGGCTGCCTCCAGCAAACACATGGGTAGAAGCACACGAATATAAACACCGGAGCTTCCTGGGGACTATCCATCATGTTGAGCATCTCCAGGCCATGATGCAGCTGAGCCAGGAAATCCACCTCTTAGAGCTATTATGAAACCTTTGAGACCAGAGAAATGCTACCACAGACCATGTTTTGTGCTTTTCAAAAAGGCTTTCCCTTAGTTTCTGCATCTCCTGGGAACATGCAGCACGCACAGTTAGTGCAGAACGCCTTCCCAGCCTTCTGCTGGGCCTTGCTTCTGCCCCTGCGTCACCCCGCCTGAGCACACTCGTCCAAGGAGTACATTCCAAAGAAAAGCTACGGATGATCTGAGGCAGGGTAGGAAAGGCCCTTTGGAGGATCAACATGCTTTGATGTTCCCTTTAATGTGTAAACTATCCCTGGGCAGCAGCCCAAATCAGTGCTGCAGCCCCACTTAACAAGTTGTTGCCTTTACACGGCTTTTCAGTGCTCATGCCCAGCTTCTTCCTTCCCTTAGACTCCCTCGTGCTTCTTTCTCCTGTTCCCAATCTCACCTCTCTATCACCACACTTGTCACTGCAAAGTTATTCTCAAGTCCCTTTCCTGCCCATAGGAAAAAAGTGTGTTTGTTGCAGTGGGGAGACTTGAAAATGTTTGCCTGTGGGCTCCATCCACAGCAACAGACGCTCAGGATTTCCAAAGTAGAACAAAGGCATCCTGATTCGGGACCAGTTAGTGCAGGGCTGGCCAGACTTGCGCAATGGGAGAGCAAGGGACTTACGCTAAATGTCAGGTTTCCAAGAACCGTAAGTGGGTGCCTGTGGGCGCCCACAGACAGCGAGCCATGAGCCTCGAAATAAACCCGAAGAGCTGCATGCAGCTCCCGAGTCTCAGTTTGGCCACCCCTGAATTAGTGGGCTTGTTTGTGACTGCCCCAAAATGCCTTATATGCAGAATCTTAATCTGCTCACTCTTTGTAACAGACTATATTTGTGACACCAAGGAAATTCCCCTGCTTTATGCTTTTCCTACATCAATGGTACCTTCCTTTAAACAGCGTACAAGCCCAATGGAACACACCAAATGTAATTACAGAACACATATTTATTTTCTAATTGGTATGTGCAGCATTCCAGAGGTAGGCAAACTAGTGCCCTCCAGATGTTTAGGAATTCAAGTCCCATCTGCCCCAGCAGCAGGGTCAATGGTCAAGAAAGGCGGTTGTTGTAGTTCCCATCTAGAGAGCATCACATAGAGGAAAGCTGTGATAATTTACAAAAGAGAAGAGTTTTTTCTGTCAAGAGCTGCATTGCCTCAGAGATCGTCTTGGGGCTGCGCGGGGCAAAGAGCCAGGCCAAAAATGGGCAGGACCAGCCTTTATTTCTCTCTCTCTGCTCTCTTGTTCTGACACTCCCTTCTGCTTTTTCCTCCATCCCTGGCCGGCTGCTGGAGGAGGGAGAGGTCACTTTTGCCAGAGGCCTGGATTCAGCTCCCCCACAAGGCTTTTGGAATTAGGTTGAAGGATGCATACACTGAGGCTGTGGAGAGTCAGAGGTCCAGTTCTGAGGCTAGGCTTTCACTACACGCTCACCTCAATATACTCTCAGTGTGGGAATGCTCAAGCTCGAAGAGGCCCCAAGCTAGCATTCCGTGCCAGCTTGACCTGGGCTCCTTGGGGCAACTTCTCCGCTCCATAATTTTACTTACAATCTGTCCCATTCCCAGTTGGCCGGTGCCACTACTGCGTTCCTGCAAGTCTTCGTTCTCTCCAAATGTCCATATTCCTCATCATGCTGCTGTCTTCCTCCAGCAGATCTTGCGATGACAGTGACATACACATACCGTGTTGCTGACGCACGCCTGGGCACCTTCTCACAGCTGCTGCTGCGATGGAAAGGCAGCATCTACAAACTCCTCTACTGCGAGTTCTTAATCTTCGTCTCTTTCTACTTCAGCATCAGCCTCATCTACAGGTGAGCATCTACATTCCATCCAAGCCAGAGAGGTTTCTTTAGGGCCTTTCTCAACAATCCCTGCAGGTGCACCACAACCGGCCCTGTGTAGGCTCTGCCGGCATCATTGCCATTCATTCATTCATTCATTCATTCATTTATTTATTTATTTATTTAAACATTTTTATGCCGCCACATTCGCCGAAGCCTCGGGGCGGCTTACAACGTTAAGTTAAAAAATAATTATAACATTAAATTAAAAAATACAAACATTAAGTTAAAATGCAAAAATAACAATATAAAATAAGTCACCCTGGCCAGATAAAATCCAATAATATTAACAATTAAAATGCCACTTAAATAAAAAGGTCTTCGCCTGGCGCCGAAAAACAAATAACAATGGCGCCAGGTGGACCTCTCTGAGGAGCGCATTCCATAACTTAGGCGCCACCGCAGAGAAAACCCTCTTCCGAGTACCTACCCTCCTAATTTCTTTCACGGAGGGTTCCCAGAGAAGGGCCGCTCCCGCAGATCTCAAGGGGTGGGCGGGCATATATGGATGTAAGCACTCCTTCAGGTAACCAGGTCCCAAGCCGTTTAGGGCTTTATAGGTCATCACCAACACCTTGAATTGGGCCCGGACTTCAATGGGGAGCCAGTGAAGCTGATGGAGAACTGGAGTCATGTGAACATAACGCCCCGTCCCCGTCAGCAGCCTGGCAGCTCTATTCTAAACCAATTGAAGTATCTGGACCGTCTTCAAGGGCATCCCCACGTAGAGCTGGCTGGCTGCCGTGAGAGCCGTCCAGCACACCCGGAGGGAGCCAGGCTGAGGAAGGCTAGTGCAGGGTGGGCACAGCACACTAACAGGCGAATGATTGTGGCCAATAAATGACTTGGTTTTGAGCAATTCTACCTCGGGGTGGCAGGTCCTTTGAATTAATGGTCTGCTGAGATTTTCCTCACATTTCCCCCAAACCATTTTCCTTCCATTTGATAGAAAAGAAGTTGCTCCTGAAAGAAATTCAAAGCTAAGAGGAAGTTTCAGAAAAGTCCTCATGGGTTGGTTCAGAGTCTGTGTGCTTGCTTGATTTCTCATGTGGCCGAGGGGCGAGTGTGAGGGCCCGGCCCTTTGCTGTACAAGTATATCTCTGGCAGCCTGTAGTTTTGCAGGTTTCCCACATGTCAATTATAGCCCGGGAAAGGCACCATATGATGCTGCTTTCCCCTGAGGGGGCTTTTTCAGACTAGGACGTGCTGACAGCCTGGAGGCTGTAAAGTAATGGAGAGGCATGTAATAGAAAAATAAAAGCCGGCACCCTCAGTCACATCACAGTGATTCGGTGAGCTCAAAAACACCACCAAAACAAAATCAAAATTGATTATGAAATGCTTTGTGAATGAGGTAGATACATGGGAGCTGAGAGAGAGAGACTGGACTTTCTGGAAAGCAAGGAGCAGATCTTGGCACAGCGGTAGTTCCACCTGTTCCCTGAAGCTGGCACCCCATGCTGTCCCCCCCACACCTGCATTGTCAAGGATGCAAAAAGGGGGCCAGGTTGCCAGAGCGGCTGATGCTGCTTCTGTTTGCAGCAGCAGAGCACTTGCGTGCTCACACACATCCGAGGAAAACCTGCTACAACCCCTGCCAATTGTCAACCCTACCTGGGAGAAATGATTGCAGGATTTCTCTTAATCCGAAGAAATCCCTTTCCCCACTCCACCTCTGTCTACAAATAGAATGGAAAATGTTGAGATGCCATTTGTGTACAGCTCTAGTTCCAAGCAAAACATGCTTCCCCACTCCACCCAAAATGTCCAAACAACAAGTACGTAGGAGCCATTTAAACAGCAGGAGGCAAGGAACACTCCAGCCAGGAGGCCAGAGGCAGGACAAGATGCGGAGAGCACCACAGTACTTTTCCCAGTGGTCTCCCCATGCAGGCTAGCTGAGCAAGTGCACCCCATATAACTGCTTGTAAATGAACTCAGAGCTTTTCTAATCAAGAGTTTTTTGTGTACCGTGGTTCCTTATTCATGCTTGTTTATAGTTTTAAAGACACTGATAGGATCCCCCCATTTAACTTTGGTTTGTTTAAAGCCCTTTCACAGAATTTTAGAACTGGGAAAATGGGGTATTACTTCTGAAAGGACTACTTGTGTAATTCTGCTATTCCACAAGAGCACAGCAGGACCTGGAAGCAGAATAGCAGGAAAGCAGAAGCTGAGGACTCATTTCTAGCCTGAACCAAAAAAATAAAAAGATACAGCAGTTAGTAGCTTTGTGTAGAAAAGCTACAATTGAAAGAGGGGATGAAAAACATGTCCTGCCTGGCTCTGTAAGCAGTGTCCATCCCTATTTCTAAACACAAGTAGTTAAAATATTTGTATTTTAAATATCAGGCGAACAATCATCGAGCATTTGAGAACTTTTCTGCAAACAAAATACATCAAAGAAAATAAGTTCTCAAAACATTCAGGATCCTTCCAGATGGAGGGTCCCTGATGTGAACTATCAGAAACTTTGGCTCTGGCCTCTTGGCAGAGCAGCAGAGGCACAGGCTGGGAGCGAGTGCTGAGCAGCCAGGGGACTGGCGAATGCACAGTAGGAGCTGGGCAGGAGCTGGGCAGGGGAGCAGAGGGCCAGGAGCAGCAGAGAGGAAGGGGGCGGGGCCAGAGAGGCTAGAGCAGCCAGAAGGAAGCGGACAGGCGGGGCCACAGCAACACCCGTGACTCCCGCCAAGGCCATCTCCTGGTCTGCCATTGGTATCCCTTCCGAGACCTTACCTTGGTCCCCTGCATTGTTTGTCCTGCAGTTCCTCTCACTCGCCCAGTTCTACCAGACAAAAACCCACTTGCACACACACACAAGGATAAAATAAACTTAAATTTAAATTGGAAGAAAAACAAAGCACAGCACAAACAAAAACAAAAAAACAAACAATCAAACCTCTGTGTCTCAGGGAAGGGAGTCTCCAGACAGCCCAGGCCGCAGCTAAGGGACACAGACAAGGGATGAGGCCTTATCAGTCCCTCAAGAGAGGTATTACTACCACTCTACACGACTCTGGTGCGCCCGCAATTGGAGTATTGTGTTCAGTTTTGGGCCCCTCATTACAGAAAGGATATAGCCAGGCTGGAGTCAGTGCAGCGTAGGGCCACAAGGTTGGTGGCCGGTTTGCAGGGGATGCCGTATGAGGCAAGACTGAGGGAACTGGGTCTCTTCAGCCTGCAGAAGAGGAGACTGAGAGGGAATATGTTGGCGACATACAGGTATGTGAGAGGATGTCACATGGAGATGGGTAGAGACCTGTTCTCCCCTGCAGAGGAAGGCAGGATGCGCTCGAACAGAGCAAAGCTCAGGGAGCCAAGTTTCGTTTGGATGCCAGGAAGCACTTCCTGACAGTCAGGACCCCGAGGGTGTGGAATGGGCTTCCACGAGAGGTCGTTGAGGCCCCATCGGTGCGGGTGTTCAAGGATAGGCTGGACGTCCACATGGTGGGCATGTCGTGAGCGAGCCGGCTGGTGCTGGAGGTCAGACTAGATGGCCCGGGAGGTCCCTTCTGACTCGCTCTGTTCCTATGTTTCTATGTATCTTTGTTTCTATGGATGGTGGCCCTGAAGGGAACATGCAGCCATAGAACATTCACTGAGCACAACATATAAAAAAATCATTAAAAGGTGCAGGTATGAGTGGACAGAATGGTGTGGCTTGCAGCTAATGACAAATGAGTGCTGCCTAAAGTTTGTGCTCAAATATGTTCCATGAAATAAACAATGGACAAATGCACTGCCTTTGGTTAAGGTTATATTTCCTGCCAATACAAAGTACTGTACTTTGAGTAATCAAGAGGGGAAAAGTGATATCCACACAACAAAGTGCTACACTGTGGGAAGACATCGGGGCTGCATACAAGAACATTTGAAAACAAGCGTGCATTAGTTGCCTTGTGCGGAAAGAAAACAAAAAAGCTGAAGGAAGGTCCTTAGAGCTGAAGTCTCCTCAGAGCAATGAATATTTTCTCAGTTCCCATCAAGGCGGAATCTCCCTTACTGTTCTGAAACTGTAAGTATCCTGCTATTATATATGTCCTTTCTAGGTTTACTCTGGATGAGAACCAAAGGCTGATGTTCGAGAAATTGGCTCTGTACTGTAACAGCTATGCTGAGCTGATCCCTGTGTCCTTTGTGCTAGGTAAGGAATGCAAATGTAGTGCAAAGCTGCAGCTCCATTTCTTTCACTGGGGTTGTACATTTCTAGCAAGGGCCAATCAAAGTCAATCAGCAAATGCAAAATGGTGTCCCCATTCTCTCCTGCACTAATAAAAACATAATAATCTGTCAAATTAGGGAAGCCCCCAGGTTAACAAGTTCCGTTCCTGAGAAAACAGAAATTCGTAAGTCAGATTGTATGTGGTCAGCCCTCCACATTCGTGCGGGTTAGGGGAACAGGCCCTCCATGAAAGTTGAAAAATTGCAAATATCTCTAGGCCCTCCCCACAATCTCACCAGAGCCTCCTCTTTGCAGCAAGGAAATACCAGAGAAATTTCCCTTTCTAGATGGGTAGGGAAGGAAGGCATGGTCTGGAGATCTCCCCCTCTCTCCTTTCACTTCCTCTTTCTCTAGGGAAATTATTTTCTGCAATATAGGTAGTCCCTGAGTTATGAATGTCCAGGTATGAATAACCCATACTTTGAATGTGTGGACTGCCATAAACCCTATATGAATATCTCTCACAAAAACTGTGAATATCTCTAGGGAACTAAGGGATGCATTCAGTCCCTAGTTTCCTTGAGATATTCATGGCTTTTTTTTTAAGAGATAGAGATTCGCTACATCTCTTCATGGCTTTTTGCTCGAGATAGTCACAGCTGTTTAATATGTTTTAGTGAATATGGAAGTATTTCTTAAGTGCTTTTTATGCATGGAAAGGTAAAATATACTAAGGCAAACATTTGGCTTATTCATGTGATCCGACTTATGTACAAATTTGATTTAAGGACATTCTTAGGAATGGAACTTGTTCTTAACCTGAGGACTATCTGTAATTAAAAAAAATAGGCTGCATGGCAGTTTGTTCATAAGTATGGGGACTGCCTGTAATTGGTTGTTTGCTGCCCTTTAAAAGAGCCCCATAACTGTTACTTAGAGGGGCAACCTCATTTTGCTTACTAGTTGGACTAGCCCTGTTTCTACCCATCCCACTCCATTGGGTTCAGATCACATCAGTTTCACTAGAAACTAGATATGTATAGCTGCTCCCATAAAAAGTCCACAAGGCAGAGCATATTAAGATGATTGTGTTGTTGATGATGAAAGATTTATGCCTCTCTTTCCTATTGCATAAATGCAATGTCTGGCATCTTTGCAACAGCTTTGCATTTGTCAGTATTTTTTATCTCCAGGCTATGAAAACATCTCAAAACACTGTAACTATGAATAGCATAGTCGTTCTCGACATAAAGATAGTGGATCTGTTCTTACTGCCAAGGCAGCAGCCCCTGACATGGGATATTGTTAACCATTACAACACAAGGCGTTTGCTCTTCACGACAAGGAAATATGGCCCAATTCTGAATAATACTTCTTCCTTTCCCATAACATGTGGCAGAAAGAACTTCTCTGAGGGGTGGGTAAAAACCCCAAGAGGCCTTTTGACATTCTTGTTGGCAGCTTCATGGTAGGCTTTTTTGGGGGTAGTTTCCCTACCACAGGCTGAGAAGGCTGCAAGAGATTGTAGTGCACATTCAGACAATATGTGGGTAAGTGCACTATCAGCCTGCATCTCACAGGGGCAGCCATAACCCCAGCAGAGCAAGCCCGCCATCAGTCTCTCTCTTAAAGTCAACCTTTTGTGTCAAGTTGCTGAGAATTTGAATCATCCAGAGTCAAGGAGATACTCGAGTTTTTACAGCTTTTCTTCTTTTAAAAGGAGTTGCTAGTTCATGTGGTCACAAAAGAAACATGGAAAATGTGGAGGCGGCATCTTGTAAAAGCTGAAAACAAAAATGCTTGTTAATCAGGGCTTCTGGCGGTGCTGTGAGGGGGTGGCGCAGCATCCGTGTGTGCAGGTTTCTTCACTCCACTCTCCTTGCTTCTACCACCCCCTGCCAAATTCTGCTGAGATAAATATACACATCTCGGTTGCTTTTATCATTTGCTCTGAGGACAGATTTGGGCCCTTTGCTGTGAGAATACCAACCACGCAAGCAGGGCAATCTCAAAAATAAAGGCTGGGCATGTGTCTACAAGCAACCAAGAGTCCTTTTGCTCTGACTACCTGTCCCATTTCTGCTACAGGGTTCTATGTTACCTTAGTGGTGTCCCGCTGGTGGGGGCAGTACGAGAGCATCCCATGGCCCGATCGCATTATGAACCTGGTCTCAAGCAGCGTGGATGGGAAGGACGAGTACGGGCGCCTCCTACGGCGCACACTGATGCGCTACACCAACCTTTTGAATGTGCTGATCTTGCGCTCCGTCAGCACAGCCGTCTTCAAGCGCTTTCCCAGCATAGAACACGTTGTGACAGCAGGTATGAGCCATCGCCACAATGACCTGCAAGGACAAAGGTGCACTCCATAGTGTCCCAAATGAGGATGCTCACGGGAACCCAAAAGCTTATCGAGATGCCAAAAGTGGAGGGGTGGGGAGAGTGGGCAGTTTTATTTACTTATTACATGTCCATTCTACCTTTTCTCCAAAGAGCTGATGGCGGCATACGTGGTTCCCCTCCCCACCCTGTTTTATACTCACAGCACCCCTGTGAAATAAGGTAAATTGAAAGACAGTAAGAGGACTAAGGTTTTGTACAGCTTTTCTACACGGGGCTGTGAATCCACCATATCTGCTTTCAGTTGTGCAGCAGAACTGGGCTCCAAAGACAAGGAGAGCATTTCCTTTCCTGCTTTCCCATTACAAGACCTCTAGATGGCACTGTGGTCTAGTGAAATAACACAAATGCACAAGTGAAACCCCCACTTTCACAATTGAATGCCATATTTCCCTGCTCTGGGAAAATCTTGCTGAAACAGCTACAAGCAGCTAGACACAGGTGTGAAAGTGGAGGCTAATGATTCCCTCTAAAGAACCCACAAATAACCATGAATAGGAATGATGAGCATGTGATAAATGCCTACACAGAAAAGCAAGCAGTGAGCTTTATGGCCAAGCAGGGATTTGAAGCTGAGTGTCTGCACAGCTGGTTTGACATTCTAACCCTTTCACTACAAGGGCTCTCAGTCTATGAAGTCTGTGAATTCAACCCTTTGGTCCAGTTGCAATTGTTCTGGGACCTATCCAGAGACTGTTCTTGCTCCTCTGAGTGGTTAGAAGTCCCAGGGTACAGTGATTATCTATGCCTGGTTTCTTTTGAAAGCAGATCATAGGAAAACAAGATCATGGCTAATGACCAGACTGGCTGAGGATGAAGCCCAACATGCCTGGGGGTGCCCAGGCTGCACAGTAAAGCAGTAAGGGAGTGCTTTGCCACAGCCCTGAAGCCAGAGTTACCTTCTGCATGAGCTCACACTTAGCTCTGTTGCTGCTGCCTTTCCACCATCACTCCTTAAATCTCTCCATCTCAGCCAGAGCACTGCTGGCCGCCAGCCTTGCCTCTCACAATGGTTTGGGACAGTGCAATGAGTACTATGGCCTGAAAGATTCTTATCTTCCTCTTTTGTTTTGCAGCTGCTCCACAGAAGGTAACCCTGATGTCCAGGGTTACCTTCTGCATGAGCTCACACTTAGCTCTGTTGCTGCTGCCTTTCCACCATCACTCCTTAAATCTCTCCATCTCAGCCAGAGCACTGCTGGCCGCCAGCCTTGCCTCTCACAATGGTTTGGGACAGTGCAATGAGTACTATGGCCTGAAAGATTCTTATCTTCCTCTTTTGTTTTGCAGCTGCTCCACAGAAGGTAACCCTGATGTCCAGGGTTGCTCAGGACTGCTCAGTACAGTAGTTAGGCCATTTTAGACTGTGGTCTCATGGGGTGCTCAGTGGTTAGGAATGCTAAAATCTATATTGGCTCATTTGCTTTACAATGCAGGAAGCCAATCCTGCTGTGTTGTGGGGCTTCTTGCTCATTCTGCTGAGTGGGGTGCTGGTTAATTTTCACTACTTTCCATCAAAGGTACAGAACATTTCAGCTTAAAATGGGGCGGCTTCGGCGAATGTGGCGGCATATAAATCTCCTAAATAAATAAATAAAATGATGCCCCCATATTGCTTTAGCAAGCTGAAGTGAAAGTGGAGGTTAATGATGCTGCTGGTTCCTGACTCTTAGCTGAGCAGATAAAGGTCTAGGGCCTCTGGGATACAAGCAGCCAAGCTCCCAGGAAGCAAGAAACCAGAACAACCACGCAGTCAAAAAGAGGACAAGGATGCAGCCTTCAAAAAGCAACTTGCCATTCTAAGAAGAATGATGGAAGCGCATCACGGGGGACTTTGATTTCCCTGATATATGCTTGGAGAAAATTCCTGCCAAACATGGTCCTCCAAGAGATGTCTATCTTGCATTGCTGACAACTTCCTCCAGCAGAAGGTAGAGGAAGGTAGAAGTGGAATGGCTCTCCTCGATTTAATGCTAACTAACAGGGATGACCTACTTGACAAAATAGTGACCATGGGAACCCTAGGAAAGGTGACCGTGAAATACTTGAATTCTCAATTATAAAGGGGACAAAACTTAACTGCAGTCAAGCACATGCCCTGGATTTCAAGAAAGCCAACTTTCTTGCAAACTCAGAACAATGATAAGTGAGGGGCCTTGACAACTTACTCTTAAGGAAAAAGGAGTCCAAGGAGGGTGGGAAATCTTGAAAAAGAAGATTCTCCAAGCACAACTACAGATACTTTCAACAAGAAAAAATGTAGAAGACAACAGAGGAAGCCCATGTGGCTTCACAAAAAGTTAAGTGACAGCCTGAAAGAAAGGAAAAAAGAACATGTACAGGAGGTGGAAGGAGGGCTGGGCCAAAAAGGAAGAATGTTAACAAATAGCACTGAATTACAGGGGTGGCATCAGGAAGGCTGAAACAGGAAATTAATTGAGACTAGTGGGGGATGCTAAAACAACAGGAAAACCTTCTTCAGATATGTCCAAAACAAAAGACATATGAAAGAGAAAGATGTCCAACTACTTAAAGTGGATAGCAAAGTGATAAAAGACAACAAGGAGAAGACAGAGGTGCTCAATTCCTACTTTGCCTCAGTCTTCTCCCACAGGAAGATCTAGAACAAAGAGGAGGGACAAAGTGAGGGATGGCAGTCCAACACTGACAGGCAAATAGTCAAGGAATATCTAGATGGAATAAATATGTTCAAATCTCCAGGGCCCAATGAACTCCATCCCAGAGTCATAAAACAGCTACCAGAGGAACTCTCAGAACCACTGTAAATCATCTTCAACAAATCATGGAAAACAGGAGACGTGCCAGTTGACTAGAGAAGGGCTCGCACTGTCCCCATCTTCAAAAAATGGGGGGAAAATGAACCTGGGAACTACAGACCAGTTAATCTGACATCAATCCCTGGAAAATTCTGGAGCAAATTATTTAAAAAATTAATCTGCAAGCACTTGAAGGAAAATGCAGTGATTAATAAAAGCCAACATGGATTTATCAATGATCCTGACAGTCTAATTTAATTTAATTTAATTTTTTGACTGGGTAACCTCCCAAATGGACAACAGAAATACTTTGGACATAATCTACCTTGACTACAGCAAAGCTTTTGATATACTGCCACATGATATTCTGATAAGCAAATTAGCAAATGTTGGCTAGATAGAAAAACTGTTTAGTGAATCAAAAATTGGCTGCTAAGGAATGCTCATCAACGGCACCTTCTCAAACTGGAGGGAGGGAACTAGTGGGGTGCCACGGGGTTCAGTCCTGGGCACAGAGTTCTTTAGCATCTTTATTAATGATTTAGATGAGGAAGTACAAGGAACAATAATCAGATCTGCAGATGATACAAAACTGGGTGGAATAGCAAATACCCTAGAAGACAGAATGAAGTTCCAGGGCAATCTTGATAAACTCAAATGCTGGACTGAAAGCAACAAAATGAGTTTCAGTAAGGACAACAGCCAAGTCCTCCACCTAGGGAAAAGAAAGCAAATGCATCGATACAAGATGGAGAATATGTGGCTCAACAGAACTGGAAAAGAAAAAGGCCTTGGAGTTATTGTGGACAGCAGGCTAAATATGAGCCAACAATGCAATGCAACTGCAAAAAGGGCAAATGGTATTTAGGGATGCATTAATAGAAGTATTACTTCCAAATCATGCAATAGTTCCCCTATACTCCTCACTAGTCAGACCCCATCTGGAATACTGTAAGTCAAGTTCTGGGCACCAAGCTTTAAGAAAGATGCAGAAAAATTAGAAAGGGTCCAGAGCAGGGCAACAAAAATGATCCAGGGTTTGGAAACATTGCTGTATGGGGAGAGACAGAGAACTGGGCATGTTCAACCTTCAGAAGAGAAGACTGAGGGGGGACATGATATCCCTCTATAACTACCTCAAAGGCTGTCACAAAGAGGAAGGCCAATTTCTCTTCTTGCTGATGCCAGAGTGTAGGGTACGGAATAATCAGTTCAAGTTGCAACAACTCAGATCCAGGCTGGACATCAGGAAAAGCTTCCTCACTGCCAGAGCAGTACGACAGTGGAACCAGCTGCCCAGACAGGTGCTGGGCTCTCCCACACTAGAGACATTCAGAAAGAAACTGGACAGCCATCTGAGTGGGATGGTGTAAACTGGTGTCCTGCAACAGCAGGGGGTTGGACTCGATGAACTTCCTGGCCCCTTCCAACTCTACTCTTCTATGATCTGTGATTCTATGATGCCCCCTAAAGAACCCATAAAAGATCATGAATAAGAATGATGAGTCCATGATAAATGCCTGTACAGAAAAGCAAGCATTGAGCTCTATGCTGAGTAGGGAATTGCATGATACTTGCATGGTTCTTGTGGAGATACTTTCACGTCCATCCGGACTGACAGACAAAGGAGAAATGGAATGTCTCCCCCTGGTGCTGTTTCTAACACTGTGGCCCTATCTAGTGGCCATGTCTTGTTCTACTTTCGGCATTTCTCTTTTCTTTTTTGGTGAGATGATGAAACAAGTTCTTTCAAAAGTGGAAGAGTGGAATTTTCCATGATGGGCAACAGTGTGATAAATAAAGAACAGCGGCTGACAAAAGAAAGATCTGACAGTATTCTGTGCCACGTAGGTTCCTTTCAGTTGGAGGCATTCTGCAGCAATTCCTTCCTCCCCCACCCCTTACAGGGGCTTTTTTCAGTAAGGAAAAAGGTGGAAGAGGTGTTGGGAAAGCTGGCGCAAAAGATGAATTGTATAGAACCTCCCTAAAATTCTGCGAATAAGGCAGGGTAATGCCTGGACCAGTAGTTGTGTAATCCAGTTGCTTCTGGTATAAAGACAAATATGTATCAAAACCATTCAAAGAATATTTGGGGAAGACTAAAAGGCCTGCTCTTTCAAAGGAAACCTGTTTCTCATTTCTTCCTTCTGAGAGCCGCTTCTCACAACCAGGTTGCAGGGAGGTGACAGGGACAATATTTCTTAAGACAATTGAAAGTGGGTTAGGAGAGGCTTTGCTTCCAGTGTTATAGAAGTCTTTCAGTTCACTAATTCAACTAGCTGGGGGAAAATGTGAAGTGAGGTTCCCCATCCACCAAACACTGAGGTCACAAACACTGGAACTGTGAGCAGAATCTAGCGGGAAATCACACCAGTTCTGTTGTGGGAATGGCCCTGAGAAGGGAGGGGAAAGGGCAGGACATAAAGGAATTGGCAGCGCTGGGAGAGCCCCACTGGGATCTTGCATGGGGCACAAAGAAGCATTTCCCCAGCATGGGTTGCTGTAGTCCATGGGTAAAGAAGCAGCCTATGAACCAGGACATGTATTAGGTAGAGAATTCTGCATCCCTTGGACATCTGTTTTCCATTTAAATTAGAAGAAAGCAGCAGTCTAGCCTTCATGCTAACAAAGCTAGGCTTTCAACTATGTGGGCCATACCTGAAAAAATCTCAGAAGGAAGAAGGGACAAAGGAGGATGGAGCATAGCTTCAGTACCCTGTCGCTTCCTGTTAATGCTCATCGCCAGCAGAAGCAAAATGGCATCCTAAATAAGTCAGTATACACAAATGTGTACTGTCTGCATCATTTGTAGAATGAGCAGAATTCTAAAATTCTTGGGATATATTGTGGAGCATACATAGATAATGCACAATTGCCACCTGTGTGAGCAACTGCAACTTTGCCTGTGCTGAGGCAGGCTATCAAAGTTCTTTCGGCCCAAGGACTGAACTCAGGATTGGAGAAACTCCAGGGCTGCATTCTAGTGGTGGCTGGACCACAGTCAAGCAGGCATGGCCCAAGACACCAGCATCTTGCTGCTCAAAGCTGTTAGTGCTGGGAACTAAACCTTAGGGAAGGCATTTCAACTTTCTAGAACAGGGAAGAAAAGACACAATGACTGGGTTGGTCAGGGGAAAGGGGCTGGGGCTGGCAAGGAGGAAAAGCTATCTGGGGAACCTCAGCTGAGCTTCCTACAAGCCTTCAGACTTGAGGTTCTGTGCCCCTGTGCTATGGTTGCCTCTCCTGCATGTATCCTTGCCTTTCCAGGGGCATTAAAAATGAGCTTAGCCAAATGTCTTCTATGCTACCCCTATCTATCTCTCATTTCATTTCCAAGAAAAGTATTCTGAACATTTCTAAATGAGGCTGTACATACACCATTCCTGACTTAGGTTTGTTTATAGGTGATATAGACTACACCATCAAAATCCAGTTTTGTTTCTCTTTCTGTTCTTTGTTTTTTTAGTTTAGTTTAGGTTTTTTTTTTGTTTTGTTTTGTTTTTTTTTGGGCGGGGGGCAGCAAGGAAATCTAAGATTTTTGGCCAAGACTAAACAAAGCACAAATCCCCACCATTGGAGTTGCATTATTCTGCCCTTATCAAAGCATCACCTAGGGGCTATGCAGAAAGGGAAGTACAGAAAGGCAGGGAAGGAAAATAACCTTCTATAGAGTTCCAGTCTTAAATTGTAACCAGAAGTAGGAGCAGTGGATTAAACAGCCTTGTTTAGAAAAGCTTTTAATCTCTAATTTGGTTATAATAGCTATGTGTTTGTTATGAATATTGCTTTATAGATTCAGGAATTTCAGGTCCAGAGTTCAATGCTGTGAGCACCCAGCCATTATTTTCAAGAGCAGGTTTATCCTTGCTACAAAATATGAACTGGATGAGTCTGCTTAGGGCAAAATCCCCTTGTACTGCCTATCCAATTTTCTCCATCTTCTCTTCTGTGTAGGCCTCATGACTCCGGAAGAACACAAGAAATTTGACAGTTTGAACTCACTCCATAACAAGTTCTGGATCCCCTGTGTGTGGTTTTCAAACCTGGCAGTGAAGGCACGTAATGACGGACGCATTCGTGACAGTGTACTCCTGCAGGGCATCTTGAACGTGAGTGCTTGTGGGTATCACACTGTGATTTCATGAAGGCCTCTGCAGGTAGCATGGGATTGCTGGAAAGAGGAACAGAGGGAATCAAAGATTACATTTAATAAGTGCAATTCATAATATTCAGAGTACTTCAAATGCATAAATGCAAAAAATCCTGCCACAAACCTGTGAATCGTTATTGTTGGAAACTTGCATTGCTGAAAAACTACATTTCCAGAAAGCAATTTCTGTGCCAGATCCTGTAATCCATCTGGCACGGACCAGGTACAGAGCACCCATAATTCATGCTTTGATGTAAGACTAAACATTCTGGCGGATCTAGTATATTCACATATAGCTGAATACGAAAGCCCACATATGAGAGAGTTTGAAAAGTGGGGATTCGCTTATTGCAGCATTCACTACAAAAGGCAATGCAAGTACGGTGGCCAACAGTCCTTTCCTTCACTGAAACATGTTTTCCTTTCCTCAGGAAATGAACACCTTGCGCAGCCAGTGTGGGCGACTCTATGGCTATGACTGGATCAGTATTCCATTGGTTTACACTCAGGTGAGAACTGGATTGTAGTGTGCATTCTCCCCTTGAAAACAAGCAGACTTAGGGTGCAATCCTATGCAAAGGTGGACAATGGAAGGCCTGCAACTGCCAGCACGCCCCAACCAGCTCTCTTAGCTCACGCTTAAGCATGAGCCCTCCACTGATTTTTCAATTTGATTGAAATGTGAAACCCAAACCAGCAGGGGCCCAAAGCAGTTCCTCTATGAAGAAAAGCTATAATAGTTGCAGCTTCTTTATTTAGGAACAAGGGGGCGATCACACTGGGTAATAAAATTATGCATAGAGAAGAGAAAGCAGAGAGGGACGGGTTCACCCTTTCCCATAACCTAGGGCTGATCTCACAAAGCTGAATGGTGGGAAATTCAGGACAGATGAAAGGAAGCACTTCTTCACACAGCACAGAGTTAAGCTAAAGAATTTGCTACACCAGGCTATCATGACAGCCACCAACTTGGGCAGCTCTCAGGGGGGATTAGACTAATTCGTGCTGGAGAAGGTGATCAGTGGAACTTAGTAGGGATGACTCTTATATTGCCTCCACTATCAGAGGCAGTGTGCTTCCAGATTAAGTTTTTATCTTGCCTTACTCATGGGATTTTATCGGGAGACTAGAAGTCATTGTGTTCCACTTGTAACTCTCCTGCATTTTTCCATTACCTTGTCCATCCTTTTCCTTACTGCAGAAAATCCCTTAAGGAAAAAATGCCAGAAGTGTGGCACGGTTCCTTCTGCTGGCGAGCACTAGGAGACCTCAGCCTGGAAGCACCCACAATATGCCTCTGGATGCCGTTACTGGGGGCACAAGTGCCTTACGCATGTGCATCTCATACTCCCATAGGCATGTGGTTGGCCAGAGCAGGAAACAGGTTGCTGGACTAGGCAAGGCCTTGGCCAGATCCAGTGTAGCCCTTCTTGTGTCCCTAAAGTCCGTATGTAGCTGCACATAAACGCATTCCGTTTGAATCTCTCCATGATCTTTCCCCAGCTCAGTTACAGGTGGGTGCACTGCTTGTACAACCTACTGCACCCCTTCATGTTTAACCAGACCTTACACAACCTCCCCATATAATCCTTATTTAAGGATCCCATCAACACACATCTAGTGTGCAAGATAGTGTGGATTTAAATTGCAATGGGAACACATGTCATGGAGATACACAAAGCACCTTAGACACATTTCTGCATAAAAAGGCAGGCCATGTTCATGATTAATGACCTATGAGCCCATTTTCTCTGAGCACATGGCTGCTTTCTTCTCAAACATATCAAAACCTGCCATGCCAGCCAGTTCCACACCACCTGGATCACGCATGGGCCTGAGCCCTGGCAAAACTGCTTCACAGCTATTGGCACACACTTTGCAGTATTTGGTGGGATGGGCCTGTAAGTAGGGTGGTGGTTTTCTGCGGCAGGCACACCAACTGTGCTCCACCCAAACTGCAGACCTGACAGTGCCAATTTCCTCCTCTCTCTCTTATCTTATGCAATCCTAGGCACAGAGACTCATTAGCTAAGCCTTAGATAATGCTCTGTTATCTAAGAGTGGAAAGAAAGAGGATTCCTGTCCTGTCCCCCCCCCCCCACCGCGCATCATAAAAGTTAAAGGGAGGTGCATAAGAAACCTAGGATCAAAGGAAGATGATGGGCAAAGCCCTCCCCACAGGTTTTCTCCATGGGAACTGGTTTGGTCCTTGATTTCTTGGGATGCTGGCTAGAGTACAAAAGAGAGGAGACAACAAAGAGCCTTGTGGCACCTCAAAGAATAGCAAGTGTGTTCTGGTGTTAGCTTCCATGTAGCCCTCTTCACCAGATGCATGGGATATTACGGAGACACATATACAAGCATATAACAGCAGTGCCAGTGCATTTGTGCTATCAGCAACAACTTTATGGTGACTGACCATTGCTAATGACATAGTTGTCACTTTTTGCATTTAATTCCCGTCTTCACTATTTGTCATTCTTCCTCTATTACCAACATTATATGTACAGTATATAAAGCTGAAATTCTCCATGTTGCATGCATACAATGAAGTTGGTTATGGAGCCTTTCTATCTGAGATGTTTGTTGTGCACTTGTGATTCCTCACTCACAGTAGTTTCTCAGTACTTTACATGACTTCATCCTCTTCCAAGGCCTCTCACATTATTTGAAATATTTTCCATTGTTTTTGATTGAGTAAAGTCTGATATTATCCAGAAATGGTAGAGTGAGACCCTATTGTATTTGTGTAACTCTGCTGTTCCACAGCACAACCTGTTGGTTATGTTTTAGAACTTTTAGACAGGCAATGAAAGGAAAAACTCTGGGGGGGAGGGGAATGTAAGTGTTCTGATCTTAGTCCCACAAAGAATCCGGAAAGTGGCAGGTTAAAAGCTTCATGTAGAACAGCCCTTAGTCTGTAAAAGCTTATCCCAGAATAATTTTGTTGATCTTTCAGGTACTGCAAAATCTTGTGTTGTTTTGGTTCCACAAGTCTAACCTGGCTGCCCACCAGAAGTAGGAGAGAAGGATATGTCTCCATTCTTTCCACCGCCTGAGCAATGCTCACACATACCTGTGTTTCAGCGTCAGCTGATTTGGCTTGGGGCAGCCAGCCAGCCAGCCAGCAGTTGAGAGCCAGTGTGGTGTAGTGGTTAAGAGCATGGGACTGGGACTCAGAGGATCTGGGTTCGAGTCCCCGCTCAGCCATGGAGCCAACTGGGTGACTTTGGGCCAGTCACAGACTCTCAGCCCAATCTACCTCACAGGGTTGTTGTTGTGGGGATAAGATGGAGGAGGAGAATGTTGTAAGCTGTCTTGAGCCCTTTGTAGGAAAAAAGCAGGATATAAATCCAAAAACAAACAGTTGGTAGATGAGGAGGAGCCCAATTTAAGCTGCTCCATAGGCTCTCTCAAACATACACAGCAGGAAATAACCAGGGCTGAATTCAAAGGGAGGATTCAGCCACACAAGACATGTATCAATGGGCCACCTTATGCTGAGGACAACTGAGGAACAGGGACAGCCTGCCCCACTGCCCTGGGCCTGCTAAGAGGCCTGCTGCCCTCAAGTGTGGTGTGGGACGCAGCCCTGCCACCAGCGCTGAAGTGAGGGGCAGCTGCAGCTCCGGTTGGCTTGTGTGTGTGCACAGGGGAGGCTGCACCCTCTTGTCCTTTGCCTCAGGCAAAATGTCTCGGGTCAGCCCCAGTAAGGAGCTGTTATCATCACTTTCTTGCTGCACCTTCCAGTGGCCTTTACACTTCACAAAAACCAACAGCAAGCCAACGCACTGTCCTGAGTGGCTACCAGCCCAGTCAGAAACCGCAACATTTGCACCCTTCCTGATAACCGTGGCTGTTGTGATGAACCCAGGCTGTATCAGTTGTGCAGGGAAGGCATTGTTTATGCGAGCTTCACCCGTTGTAACAAAAGCTCTGTTGCCAGAGATCTGGATCAGCTCCAGCAAGATCAGAGATAGCGAAAGGCGGAGTGGCCAGGTGGTGCTGGAGATGTTCTCCCAGTGTCTTAAATGAACTGTTCCTCAAACGACAAGTTAGCAGCGGTTTCTTCCACCATTCCAGCTCCATCCTTTTGTTCACTCCCTTGCCTCACCTGCCCTGTGGGCCACCTGGAATTCTGCTTGCTGAGGCAAGCAGAGGAGGGGAGAGGCCCATTAAGTTTAAGAGCAGAAGGGTAACCTCCGGATTGCAGTCTGGTAGCCACAGTGCCAAGTATGCCTCTTGACCGGATAGCCCAATTTCCCAAACACCCACGGCCTAAAAGTGAGATGGCACTATAAACAGGAACAGGGAATGGAAAGAACTCCATCTGCTGGAGTTTTTATTTTAGGCCCAAGGCATTTTGGAGAATCCTTGTTAGAGGCAAATTTTTAACAAGTATTTGCTAATACAGCACATACTCGTGATTTCTATCGCCTGTGGCCCCTTATGTAGGCATATCTTTGTTGCAAATATGCCCCTGAAGAAGGATTTTCTATAATGAATTGGCCCTAAAATTTAAAACAAAACAAAACCAGCAGCAGTTTTCTCCTTCCTTTCCCTCTCCACAAGAAATCAGCTTTGCCATAAATACTGATCCCAAGCCAAACTGAGCCAAACAAAAACTATTGTTGCTTGAAAGGATCACATTTGGTTGTTAGATTATTAATGAAAGAATCATGGAAATTGCTGGTGCTGAAGTCTGTCTTCTAGTAGAGGCAAACTATATAGCTTATTATACTATACAATTTATTCACAGTCATAGTGATAGTGAATACTGACAACGGATATTCAGATGAGCCAAACTCTGAACCAGATTTCAGCTCACAAATGAAGAAATGATATGGAATATCCATGTCTGCGTCTGAAGAGCTTCCTCTTTTACAGTGCAAAGGTAGAGAAGGATCAGAGAGTGAACTATCGAATTCAAAGCCTAAAAGCATCAGTAGGGAAGGAAGTCCCAGAGCAGCTCTTTTGAGGAGGGCAGGGAGGGATATAAAAGCAGGCCAGAAACTGAGCTATTCGGACTCTTTGGGGCTTTCCAGACAACGATTCTTTTACGCGGGAAGAACCCAGCTTTCTCTTTGTGCTTTATTGCTCCTAGGCCTATCTAGAAATGTTTCCATCTCCTCGTGATGGAAGGGAGCTGGCTGCTAGGGTTGCTACTGGAGCATAGCAGTTCTTTTGAATGAGGTATATACCCAAGTGCTGGAGGATGTGGACAAAAAGTGAGTTTGTATGGGTGTAGTGGGGAATGGTTTAGAATGGATCTCCATCCCTGAAACATCTCTGACGCAGAGGTGCACATGATGTTTGCAAAGCCCCTTGCATGCACAGGCTTCATGTGACACCCTTGTATTCTTGGGGGGAAAGAGTTTTATTCTTTGGGCAGGCAAATTTGGGAGTCTGAGAAAACTTTTTGTCCCCCTACACCTCTCCCACAGCCTATGCTCCTGCTACCAAGCTGCTAAGTTCAGTGACAGCTGCAAACACCCACAATTCGTTGCCAAATTTTATCAGGAAAACACACAAAAAGTCTAAAAGAGCCAAAATCGTTGTTTTAAAGGCTGCATTTGGCCACGTTAGCATTTGGTTCACTGACGGATTTGGGCAGCAACCAGCTAATGTTTTCACTGCTGGCACTGCAAATTTTGGTGGCAGGTAGTGGAGACTGCAGGCTCCCCACTTCTGGGTTAGTGGCTCAAGCATGGAGAATGGAAACATTACAGAAGTGCTTTCTGGAGTGAGTCATGGCTCAGCAGTGGCTGCACCACCATCACCACCTCCAGTAAGCCAAAGCATCTCAGCAGGCCCTAACAGAGTCTCTTTCTCCAAGGTGGTCACAATAGCTGTTTACAGCTTCTTCCTGGCTTGTTTAATTGGTCGGCAGTTCCTGGACCCAGCAAAGAAATATCCTGGCCATGAGATGGACCTCTATGTGCCTGTGTTCACCTTCCTGCAGTTTTTCTTCTATGCTGGCTGGCTCAAGGTCAGTTCAAAGGAAAGAAAATGGATTTCCAGGATCTCTCACCATGGAATCAGTTTCTTCTTGCATAGCCAAGGCTAAAGTGCTGATCCCAAAGCTGTTTCATACATTAGATTATAGGGGAGGGACCTCACATCTGGGGCCCAAATCTTGCCTACTTGGGGCAGAGTTCTACCAATGGTCATGACTTCTTCCTTGATCCTTATGCTTTCCCTCAACCACTGGCCAGTGGTTCTTGGTATTTGCATGTTTTCTCCATTCTAAAAGTTTGAAATGCATCTCCTAAGGTTTGGTTAGTGGCAAGAAAAGCTTTAAGTTAAAATATGTTGGTATTTTGGGCCTGCTGCTTTTGCCTCCAGCCTTAGACACCATTGGAATGCAGCATCCAAAAATTCCTTTGAAATAAAATCTGGCTCTTGGGTGTATGGAGGTTAAAATCCCCTGGTCTAATAATGATCATAGAACCATAGAATAGTAGGGTCAGAAGGGGCCAAGAAGGTCATCAGGTCCAATCCCCTGCTGGTGCAGGATGCCAGTGAGGCCGAAACTACACGGTGGTGGCAGTCCCCTTATTGTAAACGTGAGCCTGCTCTTTTCCATGTGCAGTCATGGGGGAGGGGACAAGAAGGAAGGTGCTTGAAAGGGGCTTGCAAGTGGGACATGCTGCATCCTCTCCACCAGTTGCAGCTCTTACCTCTGCACTCCATCCCACCAGGAGCTTTTCCCCCAGATAGGCTCCAATATCCAGAAGTGAGCACTGTTCTCTTTTTAAAAAGGCACTAAGATGGGATCCTGCTGGAAGGCTATACATAGCAAGCAAATCCATGGATATGCCCCTTCTCGATGAAGTCCCAGCTCCCTTTGCTCTGCTCTGTTCCTCTATTTCTTATCCTTTTATCCCACTGACTAGACAAGGGAACCTTGATTTAAATATAATAGTGAAATCCATTTTCTCGGCCCAACTGCATCAGCCTCACAAATCTGGAACTGTATTTGGGTTATCCTTATACCGCTGATATTGCTTCACAGGTTGCTGAACAGCTCATCAATCCATTTGGGGAGGATGATGACGACTTTGAAACTAACTGGCTCATTGATAGAAATCTGCAGGTAAATTGCAGGGCTGCTGTGACAGGAATGGTGGGGCAGCCCTCAGAGGTTCTCAGAACACATTTTGATGGAACAGAGTACAGATCTGAACTGAATTCCGACTGGATTAAGTGTCTGTTCATTGCCACAATTCTACCTCAGCTGTTTGGTAACCATTCAAAGTTCAATAACCATAGCTCTGAAAATGAGAATCATAGCATGGTACTAGTCTTCCAGTCAAGCACATGCCTGTCTTTGCCTGCTGCTCCATTATCAATAAGGGCTAGTGTGCTTCTAACATCAGTATTTCAGCACATGACTTTTCCATTTCATTCTATACCTAGATCATTTCTAAATTCTGAAACTTTGGACCGGATGCCTCCCATGCTCATTTCTCTCTGAGTTTCCTCATGCTGTATTTCTTGCACTTTGATTATTGCCTGCCATTCATAAGCTCATGCTGTGTCCTACACATCAAAAACAACTAATTCTATTATGGCTCCTTCTTATGCAAGCCTGCACAAATTGTGAACCACTCAGCCATGATCTAAGCCAGGGGTCCTCAAACTTTTTGAATAGGGGGCTAGTTGAAAGGTCCCAGCAATGGGCGCGGGCCACCAAGGTGGTGCGGGTGGGGGGTGCGGGCCGGTGCGCACATTACGCACATGCAGAAAGGCAGAGGCATGCCTGCGCAGAGATAATTTTTTCCCAACAAGTCCAAAACTATCTCCCTGCGAGCAAGCCGGTGCCTCAAGGTCTTGGACTCCGGGTTGCTTGCTCCAGCTTGCTCGCCAGGAGATCCTTTTCTCCAAGTGAGTCCAAAATGATCTCCTTGCGAGCAAGCCAGGATCTTGACATGCGCGTGGTGAGCTATGGCAGGCCGGATGAATTGGCATGGCGGGCCGGATCCAGCCCGCGGGCCATAGTTTCAGGACCCATGCTCTAAGCCCACTACAGGCTCAAGAAATCTCATTTTTGCTGCCTGCCTAAAACTCTCCTCCCATATTTCCATCTCCATCTTATCAAGGCACTTGCAAGGCATGGTAACGGCTGCCTTAGGATGCCAGTCCATTATCATAAACGCTTCAGCATGCTGAACTGAAAAAGAGGAAAAAGTCACAATCATTTAGTTTCTTAAATTGGAACAGACCCAAAATTATTAGAACTAGATGCTTTCTCAGCAATGGAAAAATAAGAGCAAACACATTCACAACATTACTGCATCTGACATGTCCATCATCTCCTGTAGGTCTCCCTGATGGCTGTGGATGAAATGCACCAGGACCTGCCCATCCTGCAGAAGGATCCATACTGGAACGAATCAGACCCACAGCCTCCCTATACAGCAGCAACTGCAGAATACAAGCGGCCATCTTTTCTTGGCTCAACCTTTGACATCAGGCAAGTAAACCGACCTAAAACAACCACCACCAGCATCACCACTGCATTTCTATGCCATTCACAGCCAAAGCTGTCTGAACAGTTTACAACAATAATCATAGGCTCATACACTCAAGTCACCCATCCAAACCTGACAGAATCAGGCACTTCCGGCTATGTGGAAGCATATAAAAGTAGAACGGAGAGCTCTTCTGATCCAGGAAATGCATCTAAAAATGTAGGCCCTCACCTCTGGAAGCTACTGACAAAATTATGGTAGATTTTATAATGTCATATCGGTGGGGAGCTTTGCTAATAGTAAAATTAATGAAACCTGGAACAAAAATTTGCAGAATAAAATGTTCCTGTTCAGGGTTCCATCCAGTCCTGGCTACTCCATCCCATTCACTCTGTCTTACATAAAAACAGTCAAAATTGCATATCTATTGAATTGAGAACATTCCTCACTGAGTTGCTCAGGGCTTTTCCCTCTAGTTGGACTCCCCCCCCACCCCACCCCCAATCTTGTGCATGGGTGGGGCCATTTTGGTCTCAGAAGGATGCAGATTCAGAGAATGTGCTCACAATAGAGGATTAACATTCCTTCAGCGCTAATACCACCGGACTTTGTAGATCAACACCTACTCATGTGTATCACTTGGCTGTTTTGACGTGTTGCAAAGCTTTTTCTTGCTGTTATTATGGCTTCCAGGAATACCTCAATGATCATCCGAGCGGATCATCCGAGCGTCATATAGCCAGATTGTTTGTGACATGCTGCCAATCTCCACCCTTCTCTTAAGCTCCACAGAGCCTCACCTTGCAGTTTGCGGGCACCAAAGCGAATGCCTATTACCTCCCAGGGTTATCAAGGCACGGGCGGTATGGGAAGGGCGGTATCCCAAGCAGTGGATGAGCCATTGATCCACACCTCAGCCTCATCATCCCTGAGGTGGATGAACCCAAGGACTGTGCTATAGGTCCCGGGGGAAGACAAGCAACTTCTCACAGAGGTTGGCTTTTTCGTGCAAGGTTTTGATTTGCTGCTTTTGTGCCGTAAGACCCTGTGTGCAGCTACACTGAGCTGGGTCAGCCTGACCATAAGCAGAGTGAAGGGGCCATGATCAGGCAACTGATTCTGACCATCATGCCAGGGCAGCAAATTCTCTCTACTCAAGGTGCAGTGCGACACCCTCTCTGCAGATGCCCATGCATTCCTCAAGTCAGGGGCTCAGAGCAAGCCGTGGTTGTGATAATCTCTGTTGCCTTGAGAAGGCAGGTTTTGGTGGCCTGGAAAGGCAGTGCCAGTGGGGCATGTGGGCCAGCGTGGGGGCAGGGCAGGACGTGCGGGCACGCGCACTGAGGCGAGAGCAGGGCGCGCAACGAGGCGAGGCAAGGCAATGTGAGGCGTGCGCGGGTGCACGCGGTGAGGGGAGGGGAGGCGAGGTGGGGGTGGGCACGTGCCACGAGGTGGGCGCACGAGACAGCGGCTTGCTCACTTGGAAATCGTTTTCTCCGAGCGAGCAAACCGCCCACGGGGTGAGGTGGGCAGCGGCAGGTGTGAGTGTGGGCGCGCACGCGGTGGGTCCAAACGTGCATGGCGGGCTGGATAAATGGGCATGGCGGGCCGGCTCCGGCTCCCGGGCCTTAGTTTGAGGACCCCTGGCCTTGAGGAAGCGGAGGGAGGGAGAGGGGAAGAGGCTGGGACACCAGCAGGGGACAGCATAAGCCCCCTCACTGCCTTGTCTTGCCTGTACCACCCTTTTTCCTGTCCCCAGAGGCCCATTTGCAACCTCAGGGCAGCAGCTGCTGTGGTGCTTTCTGCATCCACTCTGAAGCAGGGAGGTGGGGCTTGCATTGTAAGCTGCCTAGGAAGGCCTTGGCAATTATAGGCAGTGTATAAATATATGTACGTAAATACGTAAATAAAATAGGGCTTGGCGCCTGGAGCCACAGCTGTGTGGTGGCAGGACCCTGGAGCTGAAGCTTCACCTAATTCTGTGCCCCCACAACAATGACTGGAGGCTATCAGATTGCACCTTAATGCATTATTGTTGTTTTATTTTACTGCGGTGGAGCTTGTAAAACTGCCTGCCTCGGGGTCAGAATAACTAGGTTCTGCTAGGCCCCTTGCCTTAGTTTTATAAGATGTATCCTTCTGTGTATCTGGGGGGATTTGGTATTATCTTATGTATATTTCACAGCTGTAGCTTGCTCTGAGGTTCTTTTTTTGGAGGTGAAAGTAGAGAGCTAGGGTGGTGTAGTGGTTAAGAGTGTGGGCTGGGACTCAGGCGATCCTGGCTCTAGTCCTTCCTCAAGCCATGGAGCCAACTGGGTGACTCTGGGCCAGTCCCAGCCTCTCAGGGCTGTTGTTGTGGGGATAAGATTGAGAGCAGGAAGAGGAGCATGATGTCATCCACTTTGAGTTTGTTGTAAAAAAAAGTGGGGGAGAGAATATAAAACTGACAGACAGAGAGAATGAGTGTGGAGGGGGCCATTTGCTAGGCTGTCTCATGCAGCAAAATGCCTTGGGCCAGCACTGGCCAGCCAACAATGAAAGTAGAATTGTTTACATGAACAAGTGCAGAGGAGTTTCTACTGCGACAGAGTCAGGGCTAGTACCAAGGGTTGGCATAGCCAAAGGCCCAACAAGGGTGGAGGACATCCCCATCCTTGCTGCTGCCGCCCAGTGCCTGCACCTTTCGGCCCACTAACTTAGATGACTGGCAATAACAGCATTGAGGGGATGCCACCGCTGCCGTCGCCTGTTGCTTTCGCTGCCTGGTGAGCAGGTGACGGCAGTGCCACAGCGGTGCAGCAGCTGATGACAGGTGCAACGAGGAGGAGGTAGGCCCTCCTGAACCAGGGAGGGCAATACTGAATGAAGGGGCTAACCAAGGATGTCCCTCCGACCCACAAAGGCTCTCCAAAACACTGCCCTGCCCCTGTAAGTTGGCGCTCAGCTCATGCAATGTCTTGCTTCCCTTCTCTAGCATGCAGAAAGAAGAGATGGAGTTCCAGCCCCTGGAGCAGATTAAAGAGAACGAGGAAGCCAACCACTCAACACCACTGCTGGGCCACATCAGCCGCTTCTTGAATGTCCAGTCCCCCAGTTTTACCAGGTCGTCGAGGATGAACCTCATGCGTCGGAGGAATGAGAACTTGCCTCCTTCCCCTTGCTATGTTTACCCAGATGTGGGAAAACCTGGGAGCCCCACCAGTATTAACCAGCAAAGAGGAGACTGCTCCTCGCTGGGCTTCAGCCCCCAGGATCTGGACAATGCAGCCAGAAAGCTGAGGGAGTTCGATGCCTTCATGTCGACGCCATTCTATGAGAGGCCTGGCTTCTACAGTGCTCCACAAACACCCATCAGCTCCATCCCCATGAACTTCCCATCCAGGCGACAAGGCCGCAAGAAGCCCCCTGCTCTCTCTAGTATCACTGCCTGTCCCACCTCCGTGAGGGACCATGCTGCCAATCAGTCGCCTTGCAAAGCGAATGATATGGACAGGAGTGAGAACTCCCTTGGTTCAGGAACTCGGGAAAGTTTTGTTTGGCCAACAGAGAAAAGCCAAGCTTCAGACTCCTTGGCAGTAACTGTCGAAGAGCAGGCAAGAAACACAGCCCATCGATCAAAGGAGACTTCTCCCCTTGGAAGTCCAGGAGGGCCTCTATCCTCAGGGGACTCAGCAAGTCTCAAGTTCCCTTTCTTTGCCGAGTCCCCAAGCTCTGAGATGCAGACCAATTGCAAGAGCCTGAACAGTCTGAAAGGCCATTGGCAGCCCCGGCCAACTCCAGACAGCACAGCCACTCCAAACGCAGACCACACCAGTTTCCTTCCCAGCTATGGCAACAGGACCCCAAGCAGCAACGGCCCTGCCACGTTCTTTCCATTCACACCACTGACATCCCCAGTGCTTGAGAGAGCCCATCTGAGCAAAGCTAATGCTGTCGTTGCCCCTCCCTCAGAGGCGTCCCCTGGAGGCAAGGAGCAGGATCCTCCAGCAGGATCTGGGATGCCAAGAGACACTGGAAGTGGAGGCGCCATCAATGCTTATCAGCCGAAGGATCAGCGAAAGGCAGCCACCTCATCACCCAACGATTCTGGCATCTCCCTAGCAGAAGGAGACTTGGTGGGACTCATGGAAGTGATCATGGAAACCAGTGAGCTCACAGCTGATGAAGAGAAGGCAAACTGAGGGGACTATGAGTTTTTCTGCTAGGATGTGGGGGTAGGCTGTTCTCTGGTTTTGCTTTTTTGTTTTTTTACAAATCTAACAAGCTGTGTTGGTGCTCCACCTTTTAGGGGCACCAGTTCACATGATATGAACTGCAAAATAAGTGAAAATGCCAGCACCCCAAGTTGCAACACTCATTTTGTGTGCATCTGGGTCCAAGAGTATGAAGAACACCCTAAGACTTGGAGAGCCCCTCTTAATAATTGGTGCCTTAATTCCAGCAAGCATGCAAACCATTTCAGAGTTTTTAAAACTTTTAAAAACTGTTTTGCTTTACTATTTGAGAGTACCAAAGAATTCTACTAGGTCACTGATGCTGGGAAATTTAATATATGAATTAAAGGTCAATTTGTGTGATTAATTTCTCCAACTATGCAGTGATTTCTTTCCCTCTCTTCCCATCCCTGAATTGCCTGCACTCAGAAACTGCTCTTGTGAATATTATCATCCCACTTTGCCAGTCTACATCTGAAGCTTGTCAGGAATCAGAACACCAGATAGATTCCTTCTCGCAAGATGAGACTTCCACATGGATCAGGACATGCGGCAATTACGCATGAACCTCTCACGCTGCAGAACGCAGCCCGAATGCGTTGCAAATGAGCAAATGCACTCCCTAGAGTCACGTCTGTGTCAAAAGGAGTATCAGTCTTGACTGTTTGCAGTGCAGAGAGCAGCGAGTCCCATACCATGTGCTACAAAACAGTGAAGTGCGGCCTGAAAGACTGAGTCACAATTCTGGATGCAACCACCGTTCCATGCTCAGCAAGGTCCTGTGTGGCCTTGATTGTTCCCATGTCCCCTTTGTCAGTATGTCATGGTCAGTACATGATCCTGGGAATATGAATTCACTGGAATCTCCCAACACAGGCTGCATTGCAGATACGAGGAGAGAACAGAAGGAGGTGTGCATCCCAGAAGTATCCCTGTTACCCCAAAATTGCCCTTTGCACTGACTGGGCAACAGAGAAGTTAGGATGCCAGGAAAGGATGTCAACTGCGCGGTCCCACATTTGCAAGGGAGGTGGATGGCCACCAATCCATTAGTAGGATATAGTTTAGAAGTGAGATGGGCCTCCAGTTGTAATACTGCGGAAAATGTGCCCTATGCCTCAGAAAACCAAGATGTTTTTGCTTTACATGCAAAGCATCTTAGAAAATAAGAGTATGAAAACTCAGGGGCTGGAAAACTCTTGCCTGATAAACACTCGTGTTTACGCCGGCTGCCTAGGTTAACCAGAGAACAGGTAATAGTGCAGTTTTTGCCAAGCTAGCACAGCTTGTATGCCACACAGGACAGCCTTGCACTACTGGCTGCAGCTCAACGAGCCTTAGCAAACAGAAAATGTCACCCATGCAAGAACTCATTGCAATGAGTTTTATGCACATTTGCCTACAGTTTTCTTTCTAAAAGGCATGTGACAAGAAAAAGCATCTCAAGAAAAAGTTTCAGTTCCTAGTATCTTAAATAGCATTTGTGGAAAGAAAACATAGCTGTCTAAAATACAAAATGCAGAAGTGGCTGTGCTTCATGTAAGCTGTCGGCAGACCTCAATTACCTGAAGTTTGCACTGGCCTGACTCTAAAAGCATTCAGGTAGATATGAAGAGTTACAGTTCGAGGTTGGCAACATCTGGAACATCATACTTCCTAGGAACCTTGAAGAGAATCCTCTATCCCTTCTCTACTATTGTCCTTTCACAGTGGCCCAATGCACTACTCAGTAAAACACATCCATTTCTGACAAGAGAATAGCCACCCTTTCAGTGGGTGATCTCTTAGAAGAAATTCATCTACCCTTTTAGGGTAAAGTTAGAATGAACGTAGATGAAACAGTCATAAACTATGCAACTCACCAAGAGTTTGATTAGGATGCTGTTTTGTTATTTTTGTCTGTTAAACCATCCACAAGACTACAGTAAGGGACCATCTAAAAAAGTTTTAAATAGAGTTCAGTAACAGAACACTCCTACATTGGGCTGGCATTTCCATTCAGAGTGTAGAGAAACCCCTGGCACACTTTAGAAATAAACAGGACCTTCTACATTCCAAATGTTGAGATTTTGATATAAGCTTACAGTGTCCGCTGTCATTCTGGTGGTAGTGGAAGAGAAAGAGTTCTCAACTTTTTTGGGTTAGAAACCTCTGCTCAAAGTTCTATGAATTTTCAGTAGAACCTTGCACCTTCCCAGAACTAGTGGATGCCACAAGTCAGGAAAACCTTCATGTGACTCTGGTTGAACTAGGATTCTAGCGCAGAGTTAAGAACACTGACTTGTAATCTCTGAAGGTTCTATGCCCTAGGAAAAAAAATCTGTGGTACATGTCATGCAACTTTTGAAAAGTCATTGCAGAGACGTCACACTAATAATTCAACCTCCAAACAAATTCAAGAATGAAATTGTCAAAAGGTAGGAGACAGGCATTTTTAAGTTGACCAAGCTCTCAGGTGCCCATCAATCCCCAAACAGAGAATTTCTGCAACTGAGTATGCTAGAAAAGCAGTTGGAGGCAAAAGAGGCCAAAGGCTCCTAAACCAGTACACCCCTTCCTGCTTCCCAATTGAATCCCTGCTTGCCAAAACTGCACCCAACTTGGTTTGGTTTAATGGGCAACAGTCATCAGTGACTTAAGAACCAGAAATGTAGAGGGTTCCATCCTTCCTGCCATTATGATCTTCTACCCCAAGGTCATTATAAGGAGGCCAACTAAAAGTAGCAAATAAGTTGACAAGTCTTGATTGAGAACCAGCTGTCTTTAAGCAAAGTCTTTGCTCAGATCTAGAATGTATGGAACGCTGCGCAGGTTATCACCCTCCCAGTAATTCTTTAAAAGATGGAGCTCATTTCTAGTAGTTACACCTGCTTGCACTTGTTGACAGCAAACCTACTTGTGGCTTTTCCAGGCAAGACAAGCTTGGCTGACTGAAATGCATATGCAAATTCAAAAACTTTGGCTTGCAGTACAGTTTAACTTGCACAATATTCAGGTAACGTTGTGGCTCATATACAGGGATCTCTAACTGTAACTGTGTGTCAGCTAAGAACAGACTGCTCCACACTGGTTTAACATCAGTTGCAGTATAATCCCATATGCATCTAATTCAACAATGCCACTAAATGCTCGCTCCCAATAACTGTCTACAGGGTGTCTAAGAAATTTTAGGTTCACAACTAAAATTCTGCTCTGTATTTGCATACTTTACTAACACTGCATTGCAGCCAACACAGATTGGAACCAAATCACTTTATTCTGTATGAGATACAACACAAAAGATCAAAAGTCAGTTTTTATACAGTTATGGACAATGTTAAAGATAAAACAAAAACATGCACAGTTGAAGATGATCAAGAGTCCCAAGAAAAGCCTTTGTTCCTGGGAGGCTTTTAGTTCTCATTGTCACTTTCTCCCAGGGTATGCTTGTCAAAGAGGTACTCTGCCATTCCTGATTTTGGTGCCCCCATCTTGCGCAAGTTGGTCACATGATCACCCAGTTCTTTGATGGATTTGACCTGCTCATCCAAGTAGTGAGTTTCAATGAAGTCGCATAACTGGAAGAGAAGAGAAGCATTAAGTGGATTACCACCAAGTCAACCAACTGCAAGTCCTCTATAAATATCATGAAATAACTCAAGCTTACTTGCGTACATCACAGACAAAGCTGAAGGCCAAAAAGTTTGTTTATTTATTAAAACTTTTCTATGCCGCCCCTTGCCGAAGCCTCGGGGCGGCTCACAACACAAAAACACAAAAGTTCTCTGTGGTTTGCCTACCATTTTTCCCCATGCAGAGGCAGAGTATTGCAAATGCCATATAAAGTGATAACAGATCAAGCAATAGAGGGTCAACCAGATCCAGGCCTGTGTACCCTCATCATAAAAAATGAAATTGTGCATCAGGCAATCCAAGTTCTGTACCAGGGAAAGCCAAATTCTGCTGCATATGCAAACTGTCCCACTTTTTTTGGGGAGGGGGGTAGGGCTGTTGGACTAGTCAAAAAGGAACATGGATCCTGAAGGTCCAAATGCTAAAATACATGAAAACCTCTGGCTTCCAATATTTCTGCATGCTTTACAAAACATACACCCAGCATGGGCAGAAAAAAGGGTGGAAAATTTGGTTTTAAAAGATACTAAATACGAGATTGACTCTATAAAGAGAGTCACAAGCCTGTCATGAACAGGACATTTTGGAAGAGCTTTATTTGGAGTCAGAGATGCCTTATGATATGTAAGAATATGGAAGGAGAAAGTCACACTGCCGAGTTTTCCATCCATTAACACATGACATGCGACCCCAAAATCTCAGCATGTGAGCACCTCCCCTCTCAACTTGCTATTTCAATTCTATACCAAGTCAGATTATTTATGACCCCCCCCTTGCAAAACTATCTTTAAATTTGTCTCTTTCTGTGTCTAAGAACAGGATACCTTTTGCATTGCTAGCTAAAAGTATCGTTTTATTAACTCTCACTTACATGGGGGTCATTCTTGTCAGTTGCCAGCTTGTGCAGTTCCAGTAGTGATTGGTTCACATTCTTTTCCAAGTGCAAAGCACACTCCATCGCTGTCAGCCCACTCTCCCAGTCATCACGATCTGGTTTCTAACAAAAAGCAAAGGACAATTTATCACATCAAGGCCGAGTAGGCAAGAATGAACAAAGAATCATTACATTAAAGAGTAACTAGTGGGATTATCACCAGTCCTAGGCCTTAAGCCAATACTATACCCTTCATCTTTCAAAAGACTTGGAATTCAGAGTCTTAGAGTCTTATTTACTGGTCATGTTCCAAGATACATCATCAACAGTTCCCAAAACTGGGAGAGAAATGCCGAGTAGTGTTATTGTCCCCAAGGCCCTAAAACCCTCTGGCCTGCTCTTGGATTGGCGGCATTCCACCCATCTCTTTCCCTCCAACTGCAACTCATAATAGGGAAAAAACCAACAAGCAACTACAGCATCAAGGGCAGTAAGCAGCCTGTTATACATCTTCCTGCAAGCCCAGCACTCAAAATCCAAGTATTGGTAAAAGAGTCTCCTGTGATCAGGCCTCCTCTAACTTTCTAAATGTATTTTTCCTTCTTAGCCCCCATCACTGAATTCCTACAGAATGCCTTCATCTGCTGATTAGAAAGGCTTCTGGTTTATTATATAATCACTACAGGATCTGCCAATGCTGCAGTTTCCATGGCAGCCCAGGTCTCAAACTGCATTTTCATCAGAACAGGAGTACATTAGTCTTGTACATATCCTTTTGCCAGCACCGAAGGGCACAGAATTTGGTTCTGATATTACCTCATCTCAGCAGTCTAAGTCCTGCCTTGATCAATTGGTTAAGAACCCCCAAAGGGTTCTTATATACTGTTCACATGAACTTACAAGCTATGTGCACTGTGCTTCACAGCTCACCTGCAAAACCTGACCCAAGGGCAAGCTATACGTTCCAGAAACCTGGCCATCCCACTAATGACTCTTATAAAACCCATGGCGCCCTGAAACAATACAGAACACACTGCAAACAAAGCAAGTCATGCCCAGTAGCTAGCTAGTCCAGCCAGTGGAGTGTCAGAATGACAACCAAGCAACTAGTTTTGAATGCTCCCTCATAACTTCCCACAGAGAGAAAACATCCATGTCTGGTCATTTTAGCCTCACCTTCACTAAGTGTCAGCATAATAAAATGAAACAGACCCGTTTTGTCCATACAGGAATGAGTTTTTTTAATATACAAGAAAACATTTGATTTTCGACCATCTTTTAATGCAACAGTGATGCATCATGTGGCTTTCCTAGGTTATGGACACCTGCCCTAAACTTTTTCCCCATATCAAAGGATTAACCACCATCTAAGGCCAGGTGTAAATTTTTTGACGTACTATATATCCTGACAGGTGTTTCAGCTCTGTTCATGGCTTCAATCTTGATCTTAGAAAGAAGCAGTTCTACATCTCTTGCAAGGCCACCTTCAATAGTACAACTCACCTTGATGTCATGTAGGAAGATGCGCCCGCCCCTCTTGTTCTGCAGCTTCATAAGTTTCTCTGCATGCTCGCGTTCCTCATGGGATTGGTGCAGGAAGTACTTGGCAAAATTCTTCAGGGCCACGTCATCACGGTCGAAGTAGTAGGACTGAAAATAGAATGAAAATAGTTGGAATACCTGATTCCCTGACAATCCCAATCCAACCATGACTGGGTTGTCATTTTGTCTGAAATGAGCACACAGGAACTTGCTCACTGACTGGCAATCCTTTATTCTCCCACCAAACATTTCAGAGAGCCAGTGTGGTATAGTGGTTAAGAGCACAGGAATGGGACTTGGGCGGTTCTAGTCCCCGCTCAGCCATGGAGCCAACTGGCTGACTTTGGGCCAGTCAGATTCTCAGCCCAACCTGCCTCACAGGGCTGTTGTTGTGGGGATAAGATTGAGAGCAGGAGGAGAATTAGGTAAGCTACTCTGAGCTCATTGTAAGAAAAAAGCAGGATATAAATCAAAGCAATAAATAAATCCTTGAAATGGCTATTTAACACTTTTTTTAAAAGTTAGGGTATGCTAAAGTGCTTACAAGACTTTAAAAGCTCTCTGCCTATATCTATCAGATTCTCCTATGATCAAACAGCTCTGTAGTGGCTAAGTGTCGCCCAGGACATGGGAATCTAGTAAACTTGATTCAGTGGTCCTGGTGAAGAACTGACACATTACAGATGAAAGGGAATTGACCAACTTACGGTCAATTCAGCAGCTTATGGCCTCTGAAGGAGCAGGCACTAACAGTCAGGATGACAAATAAGACCGACCAGCTTAGAACATAGCCATCATGGCAGCCTAAGCATCACCTGTATTTCCTTCTTGAGAAAATACTGTCCCAAGGCTGCTGTCATTTTGCTCACTTGAGCCATTTCTGAATTTTGAGTAAATTCCTCTAGCACAGTGGCATGCACACTACTGAATGTTTTGCAAGTCAGCTCCCAGCATTTCTAACCAGTAGTCAAAACAGTCTTCAGGGAAGTCAAAAACAATTAGATCCACCCTCTCATGTCTCTTCTTTAAAATTAATATCATAAATTTGAAAACATTCATTAAAAGAAAAATACACCTTTCACATGTATCAACTGAAATTAATATTCAAGTTTATGCTCAAACCTGCTCTAATACAGCTGAGATCTTGTTAAGCAGTTTATGACAAGAAACCAATTTTAGCAGATCTGGAGAAATCTCTTCAATTTTAGCAACCAGCACTAAGGATCAAGGCAATCTGGTTGTTTACAATGACTAGCATTCGTTTTCCTAAAGGCCATTCTACATTCTAATTAGAGTCAAAAAAATCCAAGGCAGAAAGAGTTGCCCTGCCCATTTTAGAACTATTATGACAGTCAGGTTTAATTATCAAGGCAAAATAAGAATTAATGTTAGTGGCTTGTAAGACAGAGCCATACATTTTCTAACATTTGCTTGGCAGCAAACTTGGTGAGAAACAGTCAAGACATGTTTGTCCCGGTCTAATTCAAGGTGCTGGTTTTAACCTATAAAGCCCTGAATGGCTTGGGACCAGGAGACCTGAAGGAGTGCTTCTTCCCTTACATGCCCTCACGCCCCTTAAGATCTGCGGGAGGGGCTCTGCTCCGGGAGCCCTCTTTAAAGGAGATGAGAAGAACAACTACCCTGCGCAGGGCCTTCTCTGTGGTGGCGCCCAGATTATGGACTGTGCTCCCTGGAGAGGTGCACCTGGCACCGAGTTTATATCCTTTTTGGTGCCAGGTTAAAATCTTTTTATTTAATTGCTATTTAAAAATCAATATTTTATCATTTACAGTCACTTTTTTGTTTTTATATAATTTTATGGAATTTGTTGTTTTATTGTTTTTAGTTGTACGTGCTGTGAGTCCTCCCGAGATGCCGAGGCATGTGGTGACTGCATATAAAAGTTTTAAAACAAATAAAATACTTGACCTTTATACCAAATCCTTAGTCCCACTGAAGATTCTTAACCACCCCACCTGAAAGCTATCTATTCTACGTTGGACAGACAAGCAAAGTTAAGGATTAACTGCTTCGCCAAAACTGTCTGGTCATGTTCAAATAGAATTACACAAACACTACAGTGAAAGCCAGTTCATGCCAAACCTTTTAGAAAGCAGGTCCAAGGTCAGTTAAAGCACACTCTTACCATAGGGATAAACATCAGAGCGTGTTCACATAAACAAGTGCTCCGTAGGTAAGAGCAGACCCAATACTGCCTCCTACCGCTAGGCAGAGCAGCCTTTCCCTTGCACTTAACATGGATCACCCAGTGATCGGCTGCATCACCACACCTCAAAGGCTTCCAATACATAGCCCGGATGGCACCGATGGCTACAACACACCTTTCACGTCAAGCAAGTCACTATTACTCGTTAGGAACTGCGCAATTCTCCTCTTAGAATACGCAAAACAGAACCACTGGAGTGCTCAGTATTAAAGCTACAAAGACGGCTGCGTCAAACCAAGAATTTATCTTGAGAAGCCTTCTCCAACTGGGTGTCCTTCCAACAGTTTTGGACTTTAATTCCCTTTAGCCCAAGCCAGCGTGGCGCATGGGAGCTGCAGTCCAAGCCGTCTGGAAACTACTACGCAGCAGCATGCAGGGAAAGAGGAGAAAAGAAGGCGTCCAGCGAGTTTCGAGGACTGGTCGGTAGGATGGGCCTTTTGCTACCGCAATCAGCACGCGCTGCTAACTCGCCCTCGGAGGAAGCCAACCTGGCCCAGAGCCATTCCAACAAGGCGGCGAGAGGCGGCAGGCCCTCGCTTGCCCAAAGGCACCGGGAGAAACGATCGCCCGAGCTTGTCTCGGCACTCGGCATAAGAGATTTCCCACCGCGCTCCTTACGCCTGGGACTCCTCCCTCCTCTTTCCACGAAAGCCCGCAGGAAAAAATAAATAAAGACGAAAACCGCCTCCAGCCGCACAGAGAGAAGGCCTCGCTCGGTCGCCCCCCAAGGGCACACATACACCGCACACAAGCACACATCCCATGCAAGCACGTAAACAGACAGGGGGCGCAGACGGCGAGCGAATCTGCCGCGGGCGCTTCCATTTCGCCCGCCCCCGCAAGGCGCTATCCTTCTTCCCGAACGGGGACACAGCGCTCTCCCTCCTCGAAGTGCGAGTCGGAGCTTACCATGCTGAGGTACACGTAGGACGCGTACAGCTCCAGGTTGATCTGGCGGTTGATGGCCGCTTCGCAGTCCTGGTGGTAGTTCTGGCGCACCTGGGAAGGAGACGAAACCATGGCAGCGCTGCGGCGGCACTACGAGGTGGATGCAACGAGACCTGCGGGCCCAGGCGGGGTGGGTTCCGTCCAATCACTGTTGAAGCAGGAACCTCCTCGGCTGGGTTTTGCGGAACGTTCTGAGCCCGACCGCCTTACGTAGCATCTATATATATAAACCTCCAGGCTACGTCACAAATAGAAGGGCGATAGGCCACGCCCACCGGAGAGCGGGAATGCGGGAAGGAGGGGATCCGGTGGAGAAACTGTTAGTCCATTCCCTCCCCTTAGGAGCGCGCAAGTGGAGTAAGCGTGACTCAGCGATTTTTGGACTGCTGTCGCTGCTCGGCGCACGCCACCTTGTCCGGGCAAGGGACAAAGAACCTTTCAGGCGCGGAAGATGCTGAGTCGCCCATTATATGTCGGGATCTTTACGCAGTAAAAGGAAAACCCGAATTAACCAAACGATTCACCTTGGAATGAAGCAATTCTGTTATTCCTGCCTTGACAAAACACGCGCGCGCGCATTTGGAAAGAAAACGATTACTGCCCAGCCAAGCAAATTATTCTTGGCATTCAATATGAAAACGTATTAAATTGTTCTGAAAACCAGTTCCGTCTATATGCCTGTTTGGTGACGGGTTCTTTGTAACGGAAAACGTTTTATGTCCCTACAATCAAGTCCGGTCCAAAACCTGTCCCAAAGGACTACTTTTATTTAAGGTCAATTAATGTTTTTCTTAAAATGTTATATTTTTGGTATTTAATTTTTAATATTTAAAAATGCAGTTATATGCATATTCAGATAGGAAAAAAAATCCCACTGCAGTTCTCAGAGGGCATACTGGTCTTTTCCCTGCCTAAACATGCTTTGAATTGCACCCTAAGTAATTTTGAGCAGCATGAGTGATGACCTGCCCAGAGGCTAACCTAAAGCTGTACCTTCTCTTAGAACAGGGGTCTCAAACTTGCGGCCCGCGGGCCAATTGCTGGGACGGGCGGGGCACGGGGGAGGGGCCCCGCGGCCTTCAAAGCGCCGTGGGATGAGCGGCCCACCCCCACCACCGTGGTGGAATACTTGCTGTGGCCCAGCCTCACCCAGATGCTACCTCCAGCGGCCCCCAGGTAAGTTGAGTTTGAGACCCCTGTCTTAGAAGATCCAGCGGAAGCTCGTGATTCTTAAAGAGGTTTGCAGTCTTCCTGTGAATACAGGCAGTGGACAACTTGGTTGTTGGCAGTTCAAGCTTATTGGGGATCCCTCTGAGTGGTTATCTTGGTCTGAAAGAAAAGTACTAAACTTGCCAATTTTTACACATATATAAAGAGTTTTGTCAGTGCTGAGGTATAAAGGGGCAGATGTCTATTTTTTTACACTCTGTTTTGTTTTGCTGAAAATAGTATTCTGTTTTTATCTGTCTCCATAGAATCATAGAACAGTAGAGTTGGAAGGGGCCATGAAGGCCATCAGTCCAACCCCTGCTGTTGCAGGACACCATGTTACACCATCCCGCTCAGATGGCTGTCCAGTTTCTTTTTGAATGTCCTTAGCATGGGAGAGCCCACCGCCTGTAGGCAGGTGGTTCCACTGTCGTATTTCTCTGACAGAAAAACCTTTCCTGATATTATGTTCTCCACAGGAGAACAACATACATTTACAGAAATGTTATACCTTCCTTTATTTTATAATCATATGTTTTTCATCCTCAGCTCCATGGAATATTTTGGTTCCATGAGCAACTTCTGTGAATTTTTTTTATGTACCCGCCTCATTCAACCATACTGAATCATATAAAACAATTAATAGAAATGTTGAATAATGTGCCTGTGAATTATTACAAAACTTCAATACTATACTGGGTATTATACATTTTGTATTTGAATTTTTTAATTGTTAAAAATTACTTAATACTATTATTTGGTCAGGTGGTGAGAAGAAGGTGTTGAATTCCTTGGAATATCACAACACTGCAAGCTTAAAAAGAGGCGTGAAACTGTTTTTTTAGAACTGTCCACATTGTAATCATGCTGCTCTGTTTTAACAGAAGCCAAAGACTGCATACACAGTGTTCATTGTATATATAGCAGGCAGCTACCCAAAATGAATGAGACCCTTCTGTGAGGTCTGGTGACAGGCTCTGCCAAAGAATGTTTAAAGCTATAAACCAGAAATGATACATTTGCTTAAACATGCTAGAAAGCACAGTTCCATGTGAATTTGCTATTTAACTATGCACTTTTTATGACCACCCTCAGCATCCTTTTTCAGAATTTCAGAATCCAAACAAAGTTGTGAAATCAGTTCTTAAATGAGAAAAGTTTATCTCAGTCCTATTGATACAGTTGGCAGAAAAGCTGCAGAATGTGGAATGAATACAGTACACACAGTAGAAAAGAAGCAGTGAGAAAAAACCATACTTATTAAATAGGGTGCCCTTTAGGGTGATGAATTCCCTTTGGCAGCTTGTCTTGCCAGGTTGCCAACAAACTGTTATTTCAGAATGTTGCAGCCTAATAGAATACAACTAGAATATAACAGATGACTTTTACAACTGAATGGGACTGAGAAGCAAATGAAGGGGAGGGGGTGAAGGAGCAGACTGGAAGAAATTCTAACTAGAAAGAGTTATTCTTGTAAAAAAGAGTTTTCCATAGCATTTTTGTCAAGATGATGGGATCTGATCTTTTTTCCCCCCACAAGAGTGATTATTTGAGACAAGGATGGGATTCCTCTCTAATAAGGTTTATCTGATCTTTTTCCTAGCCAGGATGGTCTTTTGAAAATCTCTTGCAGAAGATGTGTGTTTTTATTCCAAAAATGTAAACTGAGAAATAAGCCCAGCTGTGTTCATTGGAGCTTATTCCATAATAAATGCGTTTAGGATTTCAGTATTAAATTGCATACAGTCCTCTAGATCAGTGGTCCCCAACTTTCTGCAACATGGAGGCTGCATTATAGTGCCCAATGCCTAAAGAGGGCACATCTTAAATCAAAATGTAACAATATTATTATCCTACCAATTTCAGTATTAAATTGCATACAGTCCTCTAGATCAGTGGTCCCCAACTTTCTGCAACATGGAGGCTGCATTATAGTGCCCAATGCCTAAAGAGGGCACATCTTAAATCAAAATGTAACAATATTATTATCCTACCAAGTTAGATCAAAAGTAAGCATTAAGAGGTCAATAAATAGCCCAATGTTAACTGGAATGCAATCTATTTTGGAACAATATTTTACTGTGCTTTTATATAAACGTGCTTACCTAATTAGTGTGATTTTTGTGGCTTTTTTCTGTTAGCCAAGGCATTAATGTCTAAGTCATAGTTTGTGACAGACACCTTTAAAATGCCATGTGAATGTTCATCTGTAAGTCTTGACCTACACTTGGATTTCATAATTTTCATCTTGGAAAAAATTTTGTTCACAAATGTGGTGCCAAACACTTTCCTTAGGTTGATAAATGTATCAGGTAGACCACATATCCAACCTTTGTAAAAGTCTAAGATGATCACTGGTTTGCAAATCAATTGGTTCTATCTGAAAAAAGTTACTTGCCTCTCCTGGTGCTACTTCAAATGTATTTTGAAATGCTCTTATTTCCTGTTCATGCTTATGGCAATCAATGAATCCGTTCTGGAATTTCACCTGAAACAGGTTCAGTGCTTTGTCTTTCAACACTGAATTGTAATTTCCCATCCTTCTCATATTTTAGTTTATTGTAGCATGAGAAGTTTCAAAAGTTATTTTCACTAACTTGTTTCACAAAAATGTTGAATTTTGCTTCAAAAGCTTTCAGTTCAAAATGCATACCACATACAAGCTTTCCTTTCCCTTGGAACCTTAGATTCAGTGTGTTCAGATGCTCTGTGATATCAGTTAAGAAAGCCAAATCAAAAATCCATCCAGGGTCAGAAAATACTCCTTGAGTTTTTCCTTTCTCCTAGAGAAACAGATTAATTTCATGACAAAGACTGAAAAAATGTTTGAGGACCTTGCCTCTGCTAAGCCACCTGACTTCTGCATGGTACAATACTGCTCCATATTTTGCATCTAACTCTGAGAGAAAAAAAATGAAACTGATGATGCGTAAGGCCATGATGCCTGATATAATTAACATTGGATACAACAATATGCATCACACTTTCCCAGTGAAGAATCTTACTACCCAAGGCTTGGTGATGGATGATGCAGTGAAATTGCATGGAAAATACACTGCTTAATTTCAGTATCTCCTTGTTGATTCTTGCAACTATATCAGTTTTACTTCCCACTATTTTTCTTACACTATCAGTTGTAATGCTTTCAGTTTATCCCAACTCAGATCACTGATTCACACACCTTCAAGAATATGTTTTCTGCAGTTGTGGTGTCTTTCAGACTCTGTAGTGCACACAATTCTTCTCTAATTCTGAAGCTGGAAGCTGAAGCTCTGATAAACATTAGTAGTCGAGCAGTGTCTGTAATGCCATTGCACTCCTCTAATGGCAAAGAGCAGAAATCAGAACTTTTTGCCTTGACAATCAGTGGCATATACAGCTCTTCTGATTCTTCAACATGCCTGGTGATTGTAGATTCAGATAAAGACACAAATAACACAAAATACCTTCTCAGGGCACATTTCCTCCTTACTTTAACCATGCACTTCTTAACAAAGTCACCATCCATGAATGGCCTACCACTCTCAGCAAAACATTGAGCAACATGCTAGCTGACCCTCACAGTTGACAGGTTCACCTCATGCTTTCAAAAACAAATTTGCTGCAAAAACATCGATTTATTAAGAGAATTTATCTTGTTCGCTCCTACCTCTCCTTTTGATATATTGAGTAGTCCTTGTGACAGGATTCAAAATGCCTTTTAACATAGTACTCCTTTAATAATGAGAAAGTTTCAGGACTTATCAGGCAAAATGTTTTATCCTTGTTTAAAACAAATTAGTAGCCCTGAAGGAGCCTGATTAGCTGAACTACAGCCATTTGCTTTTGAAGAGAAGGAAAAAGAATGTTGATAAAGGGAGACGAGGAAGTAGAGAGTGAAGAAGACCCCCTACATGAGTTCGGGCACGTAGTGATCAAGTGATCACTCAGCCCCTGTGATGGGATTGGACGTAGATTAGCGCCTGCACGAGGTCAGGCCTGCAGCAGACTT